CCCCGGAGCTGGGCTGGGGGTGACACGTGGGTTACTCAACTCGCCGTGACCTGTTCGGCCGACAGCACCTGGCACACGTGCCCAGGCGGATTCCTCACACCTGTGTCACACACCTTTGTTGGTGTCTCCTGGGACTGGGTGCGGTCGAACCCCTCCAAGGAATCTGCGTGTGCAGCTCAGAGAACAGGAAAGAAAAACGCCTTGTGCAAACCAAGGCAGGTTTGAATTCCCCTCGGGACAGCAGGTGTGTGCTACCTTACCTGTGCTGTGTGTAAGACTCACAGTGTCTTACAGCAGTGTGTGAGCTCCACAACAGAGTGAGTCAGTCTCACCCATTTTTCAAACAGAAAGGGTATGTTGAGGTGCAGCCAGTGATATCAGTGGCTCAGCTGGTATCGATACCTGGGATGGTTCTAGGACACACTTCTTTGGCTTCCTGGGGTCCTCACAGCCGTTGAGTCTGGCTGTGGCACAACAGAGCTGAGCAACTGTCCTGGCAGCACAAGGACCAGTGAGGTACAGCTCTGGGCAGGGACCCCTGGAGTTGTGCTGTGCTCTAGCTATAAACTCATCAGGCCTATAAGATTTGCATTTCTTTGTGTTTGAAGTGGAAATAGTTTTTAGGGAAAATTGCAGTGACAGAAAAGGCAATTCCCAGGTACAGCTCATTTCCTGATGTGCTGCTGTTCCCTTGGCAAGGTTCTGGTGCCCTGACAGCCCTTCCTGCCTCTGGCCCTCAGACATCACCCTGGGGAAGTCATATCAGCTGCCTTGGTAAGAAAACCTGAAACCTGCTGGAGTGCTGGAATGAAATGTCACCTGTCCATTCACTGACCTGAAGAGGAAACACCTCACCATGGCAGTGCCAGCTGAGGTATTATCCTAAACTCAGAAAAGATACCAGGTGCTGGTTTGAGGGTTTTTTTTTGTGGTGAGATCTAACAAAAGTTTGTCAATCCTTCAGAACTGAGTGGTGTGGACGGACGTAATGATAATGTGTGTTAACTTATCTAATGTGGGTTATGGGCAACACTGGAGTAATTAATTTAATTGATCCTGCTATAGTCAAAGACATTTTACAATAAAAACCTCTTATGTCCCCACTGTCATTAAAAGAAATTCTCTTCCAGTGTAAATGTTGTTGAAATATGGGAAAATGAATCAAATCCTTAGGAATTTTTGCTTAAGTTCTGCTGCAAGCACAGGTGTTAGCACCTGCTGGAGCCACAGCTTGACTTTGATCCTGCTTAAGCAGGAGGCAATTAGCTCACTGGGCTGATGCTGCTGGAGCTCTGCCAGTACAGTGTAAGTGAGACCAGATGTGGCATCTTTAATCGCTGGTATCCAGTGCCTAGAGAGTAATTCCTTGGGAGGCTTTTTTCCATAGTCACTTCCAAAGTCTCGAGGTCAGACCAAGTTTCTCTTGGCTGGGACAGTCCTTGTTCTCCTGGGCTTTTCTGAGGGCTGCTGAGGGCTTGGACGTAACTCCAGAGACCTCTTCCCTGGAGGAACACTGTCAGGACTGCTTCCCCCCCTCTGCATTGCATTTATTCACACCAAGCTTCACCTGTCATTTTATCTGCAGTTTTCCACTACTCTGAGGCTTCCCACTGCCGAGTTGCTGAGTGGAGTGTGTCACCTCGTGGCTCAGCACCTCTCCTCAGATGGCACAGCCCTATGTGGATCTCCTGTTTGCCCTCAGTGATTCAAACAGAATGTTCTGGTGGCAGAGGGGAGCTGCAGGCAGAGTCAGCAGCAGTAATGCCCATGATTCAGCTGCACAGGTCAGGCTGTCACCACTGTCCCTGGGACTCACATCCCCCCGGGGTAGCACAGCTCCACAGTGTAGGTTTTGCAAAATATTTATTGCAAAATAAAAGTAAATATGGCAACAAAACTTAAATAACATATGACATGACACTGGCCATAAAGCTCTTGCTGTATCATGAGTCTTTTACAATAATCAATAGTCAAGTGTGTCTCCCAGGGCAGCTGCATGTGGACAGCCCCAGTCTGTCTCTGTCACTGGCTCCAGCTGTGTGGGATGCAGGACACTTGTGCCTCCTGCTTGCACCCGTACCCGGCCTGATCCCCCTCAACCAGGCAGGAGCCAGCACTGTCCACACTCTGAAACCTGCTGTGCTCTACCTGAGCCCCTCCTCCCCTTTCTCCAGCCACCACAGCTGATCCAGTGCCCACCCTCTGTCATAAAGTACCAGAGAATGAAGAAACATCCCTGAAGTACCTATTGTTCCCCTTTGAGTCACAGCTTCTCCTGTGAGAGGTTGCTTGGATATCTTTCCTTCTCCACCTACAACAAAAGGACAGGCAGCCTGGGAGGAGTACAGAGATTGTCTGAGCAGCCAGGGATCAGGTTAGGAAAGCTAAAGCCTGATAGAATTAAATCTGGCCTGGGAAGTCAGGGGCAACAAGCAAAGCCTTTATAGGTACATTGGTGATAAAAGACTAGGGAAAATGTGTGGAAGGAAACAGGAGACCTGGTACCCAGGGCATGGAGAAGGCTGAGGTACTTAGTGATGTTTGTGTCTCAGCCTTCATGGCAGGTGCTCCAACCACACTGCCTGAGTCACAGCAGACAAAGGCAGAGAGTGGGAGAACAAACTGCCCACCATGGGAGAGGATCAGGATTAAGGAGGTCTAAGGGACCTGAAGGTGCACAAGTCCATGGGACCTGATGAGATGCACCCGTGGGTCTGGAAGGAACTGGTGGAGGGAGTGGCTCAGTCGCTATCCATCATGTTTGAGAAGTCCTGGCAGTCTGGAGAAGATCCCACTGACTGCAAAAGAGGAAACGTGACCTCTTTTTTAAAAGGGAAATAAGGAAGACCCAGGGAGCTATAGGCTGTTAAGTCTCACCTCGGTGCCCCAAAGAGCATGGAGCAGATCCTCCTGGAAACTATGCTAAGGCACATGGAAAATAAGGAGGTGATTGGTGACAGCCAACGTGGCCTCACTAAGGGCAGATCATGAGACCTTAGAGCCCCTTCCAGTGCCTGAAAGTGCTACAAGAGAGCTGGAGAGGGAATTTGGACAAGGGCCTGGAATGACAGGACAAGGGGTGATGTATCCCCACGACCCAAGGGCAGGGATAGATGGGACACTGGGAAGAAATTCTTCCTATGAGGGTGGTGAGGCACTGGCACAGGTTGTCCAGATAAGCTGTGACTGCCCCATCCCTGGGAGTATTCCCAGCCAGGTTTTGCTACAAGAGAGCTGGAGAGGGAATTTGGACAAGGGCCTGGAATGACAGGACAAGGGGTGATGTATCCCCACGACCCAAGGGCAGGGATAGATGGGACACTGGGAAGAAATTCTTCCTATGAGGGTGGTGAGGCACTGGCACAGGTTGTCCAGATAAGCTGTGACTGCCCCATCCCTGGGAGTATTCCCAGCCAGGTTTGGATTGGATTGGAGCAACCTGGGCTAGTGGAAGGTGTCCCTGCCCATGGCAGGGGGTTGGAATAGATGATCTTTAAGTCTCTTTCAACCCAAACCCTTCTGTGATCCTAAAGCCTGTTAGTAAAGCTCACCAATGAGAGTGAGGCTGTGTTGCTGCTGAAAGGGCTTTTAGGTGCACTCCACACAGGAGCCTCTTGAGCCATGTATCTAATGGAAGCACTCTGTACATAAAACATAATTAAATTATGAAAGGTAACCATGTGTGTGGAATATTCCTAAGGCACCCAAGGATTTCAGAAGACCTTTTCCCACTCACATTCCTCACAGGACACTCTTGTTCCTCTTCTCCCCAAAAGTCACAACTGTTGGCTACTCAGGAACCCTAGCATAACAGGATGACATAGTTGAACAGCATTAAAAACAGGAACCAAAAGCAAACCCTGGTGAAGGTAAAGCACTACATCCAGACAGCTGAGGTCACGGGCAGCACATGGAGATGGTGACGTTGATGCCGAGGTTTCCGTTGTCGGCGAACAGGTGCGCCGTGGCCGTGTCAAAAACCAGGCAGTTGCTGTTGTGGATGGCCACGGACACGCCGTCGTGGATGGAGCAGGGTGAGGCCTCCCAGGTCAGCCGGCGGCAGTTGCCGTTCAGCTCCAGTCTGTACTGAAAGTTCTCCGCCTGCTTGCGGGTGCCGATGAGCAGCACGATGGCAAAGAACTGCTGGTGGCCCTCACACTTCTCCTGCTTCTTCAGCACCAGCATGAAGTGGTGCCCGAAGCAGGACTGCATCATCACCCAGTCCACTGCCCCTGGCAGGTTAATGTCTGTGGCAAGGAAAATGATGTCTTCTCCCTGAAGGGTGGTAATGCTTTTGTGGGCGTGCATGAGGTGGGACATCACGGCTTCCAAGGAGCCCTCCCAGTCACAGGAGGTGCCAGGGCACGGGCAGGAGTAGGGACGGTACTCACAGATGGCTTCATGTTTTGGCTTTTCTGTGTGGTGGAGTGTCAGGGAACAGCCTGTTGTGGCGTACTGGAAAGAGACCAAATACAAGCCGTCAGGAAAGGCACCAGCATGAGCGTTCGCTGCTCCCACCCGTCAACTGGAAACACTGGTGATCAACCACAACTCTTGTGCTCACTGCAAATCTTACATGAGACACTTCTAGGCAGCCCTGGCTTCGAGCTGAGCTTTACTTAGGTTTTGTTTCCACTTAAAAACGCTTTCTTCTTTTCTTTTCTGGCTGTTTATTCCTAACCCAAGCGCTTAGATAAAATGGGCTGTTAAGGCTGAGTTGCAGTTAAGATTTCCTGCTGCAGTTACATCTGATCCGTCCAGATCAGCTGGAGAGGTCCTGGTTTGCATTTTCCTTTTCTTTAAAAAGAACAAAGGATTCTAATTTCAGCAAAAATACCTCTCTGCAGGGGGATAGGGATGGGGAGGTGATGGGCGAGGATTCTCCGCAGGGAGACAGAGGTGAGTAGTGCTGGGTGAGGATTCTCCGCAGGGAGATGGGGATGGGGGGG